TAATTTTTGGTATAGTAGTTGTGACTTATTCACACTATATACATTTGGCTTCCGCAACAACAATAACAACAAACTCAGTATAATCCCACTAGTAAGGTCTGGGAGGGTAATGTGTATGCATAACTTACTCCTGCCTTGTGAAGATAGAAAGGTTGTTTCCGATAGACCATCGGCAAAACTGAAACTAATAAAGTATTTTGTTAATTATTGATTATCGGGATATTATCACTTCTTGCCCGTGCCATAAACCATTTACATTCAGTAGCCGAAAAAGTATATAAAATTTGTATAATTTTTGTATATAACATACAACATGTATTATTTTATTTTTCGCCATTATTTTGAACGGCTATATAGTGTCATTTTCCCCTAATTATCAAGAAAAATGCCGGGTCACTCAATTATATTACCAACAACAAGCAGTGATGGTTGAAAGTAAATTATATGGGGATTGTTTTGGAAAAAACAGATTTTCAGTCAGAAAAAAATGTTACATACTTGTAAATCTTCAGTGCTTCCAAGGCAACCGCACACGAGACTGGGTGTCCAGAATAAGTAAATCCATGGCAAAAAGCACCTAGTTGACAAAAACAAAATGAAGAAGTTACGAACAATTTGGTTAACAAAAAGGAGAAGATTTTATATCCTATTGAACTGATATTATGCTCACCTATTTTATTGCTTTCAGAATGTATAACATCAGAAATTTCATGGCTTACAAGGACAGCACCAATTGGCATATATCCAGATGAAAGTGCCTGAAATAACATTTAAAGAGAAACATATCCAAAATTCAGATATAAATTTAACTTTATACTTCAATAATGTAAAAGATGATTAGTGGCGGAGTCAGAAATTTATACAAGGAGATTCGAAAGTAACAATTCTTTAACCCTCTTTTTCTTATGTCTTTAACCCTCTTTTTCTTATGTCAAGGAGATTTAACAGCTTATATACATAACCAAAATATTTGCTTATGTCCTATTTACACTGTATAATTTTTCGTCAGAGGGGATTCAATGGGTAAAATTCTATAGCAACCCTAATTGGTACACAAAAATGCATTACACAACCTTCAATAACGGCTTAAAATACATTGATATTACTGTAGGTTTTCGGTGTATTTAATTAAATCTCAGTTGTAATTTGCATAGATTGAACATAGTTATTTAATCTACCTTTGCTACAGAGACAAGATCAGGTTTAATGTTGTACTTTTCACAGCCGAACATTGTCCCGAGCCTTCCAAATCCACATATGACCTCATCCGCAATAAACAGAACGTCATACTTCTTGAGAACAACTTGGATCTAAAAAAGAGTAATAAGAATTATTGTTTCAGCTATTTTTAAGTATAAACTCTAGGACGGTATATTCAAGGTTTATATAGATTATATACTCATTATATATAATGATACACATACTATACATACATCAATTGGAAAATTAGGTCTGGCTATTTTTAGGTTAAGCGTAAGAGGCTATTTATGTTAATTCTTCAATTCAAAACAAGACAAGAAGCACTTAGCCCAAACTCATTCTTCTATCTATTTTATTTAATGACTAAAAAAAATAAAAATATCTAGCTAAAATCAGCAAACATTTTATTAAAAAATAATCTCAAAACAAAAACCAAACATTTGCATTTTCTATATTGAACTACAAATTAAAATTAAACCAAACACAAAATAAATAAGAAAGTACTAAAATTACTTGGAAAATTAGGGAGGGTGTCAATATTTAGATGTTTACACTAAATAAATATCAAAGATAAGGCAGAGGAAGGTGATGTATTGTTGCCTTTATTGAACAATCCTTGTTAATACAAATTAAAAGGCTTGTAATTCTTAATTATTGTATATGATTCTCTCTATAAAATAAAAAGGAAATCTCTGACCTTATCAAAATAGGTTGCTGGAGGAGGAATGACACCTCCTCCCCCCATTACTGGTTCGGCAATGAAAGCAGCTACCTAAGTTAACAAAGTAAATTAATTACCATCAAGTTCACCATCTATATATATTATATAGTAAAAATTTATATGCATCCGTTGTTTTCACCAAACCGCGTGTATCAATTTACCATGGTTAAGTTATTTAATAAAGTGATAATATACATTGATTAACGATAATTGAGCGAAATAAACCTATGTATATACATAGTATTATACGTACTGATTGAGTGTAAACACTCATTGCGGTTAAATTTGCAAAGGAAACACAAAAGTAAATGGAAATTACTGTTTCAGGTCCCTCTTTGAGTATAAGATTTTCCAATTTATTGGTCAACCTTGTCGAGAACTCCTCTTCCGTCTCACCTGACATGCAACATGTTAGTGGAAACTTCTAATAACTTACGACATAGATGGAGGTGGATTTAGGATTTGAAATAGGCGGGGCATCGTTGCCGAATAAAAAGTTGAGGAAATACTGGAGTGGAAATCGGACCAAGGCAGAACATTAAAAGTTAAGATGTGCCCTCAAGTCGACAAATGCAACTGCCTAAACTTTAAGTCTTAAAATATCAATCAAAATATGTACATGTTATTCAAGATATATTCCCATATATACGTAGATTTTTTCAAAAGTTACCGAATGTTGGTGATCCTCTTAATTAAAGGGTAGGTCCGCCTATGACCATAGAAGATCAACAGATATGGACTCAAGATTGAACTTTATGATTTCTGGATCTTAGAATAACGATCTCGCGTGTTAATAGCTAAGTTTTGAATTTGATTACAGTACAAATTTATTTAATTTCTTAACACATACGGATTTGAGCCAAAATTACTAATTTTCCCAAAAGATTAGGGTACTATAAGAAATAAGGATAAATAAAACCTGGCAAATGATATCGCCAATAATGAGGGCAGTCAGTGTGCAAAACAAATGAAACTGGCAAATCGAACTTGTGATGTAGTGCAGGAATACTGCAAAAGAAAATATTAGTTAGTATACAACTATAAATAATACTTGAAACAAATACTACCTTTCTTCCATTTTATACCAGGGTTTTTTCTTTTTAATTTTTCATATTAATTCTTTTAGCTTTAATATCTTAATTTTATCCTTAATAAAATGCGCTCTTAATTAAAGCCTTAGAAATATCATAATTAACTTTTTTTTTTCCAATAAAATATGAATCAAAGACCTCCATATAAATTAAAAAATATATATTACCCAGAGAGACTAGCGGAAATGAAAGTGGTCCCGTGGTATCTGTTTGAAAGTGACATGCATGAAGATTATGATGTAAGCCAAACGAAAAAATAAAATATAGAACACAAAAAGATAAAAATAAATAAATAAATAAATAAATAAAGAAAAAAAGAAGAAGAAAAGAGCATGGGTTGAGGAATCAGAGTACGCGTTTGCTTGAGCAATAAATTTCTTCTTCTTTGGCCTGCCAAGTGCATTGTTGTAATACCAAACTAGCTTCACCTACAGAGTGAAAGGTCAAAGATTATTTAATATCCTTGAAATCTTTCCACAAAATGTCCTTGAGTTTGACAGATTGTGCAATTGAAGAGCCTTGGAGTAACGGTCAAGTTGTCTTCGTGTGATCTATAGGTGAGGGTTCGAGCCATAGAACTAGCCGCTGATGTGTGCATCAGGGTAGGCTGCTTACATTACATTCTCGGTGCAGCACTTTCTCAAACCTTGCATGAACGCGCAGTTACTTTGTGCACTAGACTGCACATTTTGGTGCAGTTGAAGGTAATGGTCACTATCCTATATCTCGCCACCCTAAGATGGCTTTTAATAACAATAATAATAATAATAATAATAATAATAATAATAATAACATTAATAATAATAGTAGTAGTAGTGATGTCGGAAGGCAATAACCAAAACCTGAGTGTCATTGGCTTCTGATCCGCTATTTGTGAAAAAAACTTTCGCCATTTTATTTGCAGTAAACAAATCTATGAGCTCCCTTGCAAGATCCTGTATATATGTTTGATAATTAAATCAGCCATAGATCTAATTAAGTAAAACTTGATAGCCAAATTTGAACATTAATTGCTGAACTGAGAGTTTGACATACCAAAGAAGGTTTTGTGGTACGATTCCAAAATGAATGGTAAAATGGCAATGTGTTGAGTTGTTTTGTTGCAGCTTCAACAAGACGAGGCTCATTTCCCCCTACAATAATTAAGTAAATTAAGATATTCTCTCTAACCGCTTAAACTTTTTTAAAAAGATGATCACATATTTTAATGTGGTATCAAAATAAGGTCCGGGTTTCGAATCTCACCGTCATCCATTATAAAAAAAATAAAAAATATCACGTTATGACTAATAAAAAGAATCAAACCATACGTAAAGGATGTATTGAAAATATAATTAAATAAATAAAAAGATTGTAACGTACCTAAGGGATTACACCACAAACCAGATAAAGTATCAAGGTACTTCTTCCCATTTATGTCATAAACATAGGATCCCTATGCCAAAATTACACAAGTATTGTTAAATTAACACAAAAATTTTCTCAAGTAAAAAACCAATAGAAAGACACAAATCTAACCTCTGATTTCTCTATAATTAAAGGCCCCATATCACTCTGCCACCCAGCAGTGAATGGTGCCAACATATCATGTCCTCCAAATCTGCAAATGTAAATACATTCTGGTTACTTACTATAACAGTAAAGTCATAAAATAAGTTTTTTTGCGCCGAAGTAACTGAATCTTATGTGCTATAATAATAAGATCACTATTTTATCGTAAAACCATAAGAGTATTTTTAACACATGAAAGTGACTGAAGAAGAATACCCATTAGTAATCATGGCCATTACTTCAAGATTTCTTGGAAATTATTACTTTATAAAAAGAAACTATATCTGTCTTTGCTCTCTTCCTTTTTCAAGCTAAGATTTATTTTAGCCAAAGTCTGGAGAAAGTTGAGGAGAACAAAGAACAAAAGAGAAAGATGAAGCAAGCAAAGAAACAAAGAACAAGAGATAGAGAGGTTGAAAATCGATATGTCCAAAGAAGTTAAAGATATTTATAAAAAAAAGTTGTGAGGGTCCATTTATGAATTTAACTTATATACACTAACAACATAAAGATTTTTATATTATTAAATTGTATTATCTGTTGTAGCAAGTAATTTATTGTCACGACCCAGATTTCCCACTGTCGCGATCGTGATGGTGCCTAACTCTTGAATGCTAGTCAAGCCAAAAATTACGATTTTAACACATTAACAATTAACCCAAACAGAAATAAGTAATAACTAAAGCTGAACAGATATAAAGTGCGGAAGTGTTATAATAGTTCAAAATACTCCAATACATGTCTACCCCAATGATCCGGTGTCACAATTCACAAACGTCTAAGAAGTTCTACAAATACTGGTTTAAAAGAATTACAACTATTCTCAAAATGAAAAGAGACAGATAATCCAAAATAGGGGGAAGGGGAACTTCAGGGTCTGCGGACGCCAACAGATCTACCTTGGGTCTCTCATGGATTGAAGGCAGCAACCTCAACACTACTCACGAGGCCTGGCACCGAAATCTGCACAAAAAGTGCAGAGTGTAGTATCAGTATACAACCGACCCCATGTACTGGTAAGTGTCGAGCTTAACCTCGGCAAAGTAGTGACGAGGCTAGGACACGGCAACCATATAAACCTATGCAATTAAATTATATACGAGAAACAATAATAACAAAAATTTATCAGATAAAGACGGGAAAGGGGAAACATGTTAAGGGGAATATCAGATTATGACAATAGCAAAATAAATAAGCAAGGTAAATATCAAACTTGAACCAACAAAAATGATAACATAGTAACACGTGCACGGCATCACCCTTCGTGCTTTTACTCTTGTCCTCACCATAAACCAACAGAAACGGCACGACATCACCCTTCGTGCATTAACTCTCTCATAATCATGGCACGACATCATCCTTTGTGCATTAACACTCACTGAATATGGCACGACATCACCCTTCGTGCATTAACTCTCTCATAATCATGGCACGACATCATCCTTTGTGCATTAACACTCACTGAATATGGCACGACATCACCCTTCGTGCATTAACTCTCTCATAATCATGGCACGACATCATCCTTTGTGCATTAACACTCACTGAATATGGCACGACATCACCCTTCGTGCATTAACACTCTCTCACGATATCATGCATGGCATCACCCTTCGTGTTTTACACTCTTCCTACCCAGACAATAGAAACAATAACATCCCGACAAGGAAATCAGCTATAACCAATATCATTTCAACAGTTAATTTCACAATGTAAGTCTCAACTCGAGTCAATACTTAACAATTATCCAATGCCAAGAAAAAAATATCATAAGATTTGTTCATCATAGAGAATTATCAGTTTAGGCATGAATAGTACATAATAAGAATCACAACGGTCACAGTTTAAGACTCACTAGCATGATCAACATCAACGTATAGCTACTCATCACCACACCTATACGTCGTACTCAACACTAATACGTAGCAAATAAGACAACAACACTTATTCCCTCAAGCTAAGGTTAGACCAAACACTTACCTTCCACGGCAAAAAATAAAGCCTCAATTACCGTTTTCCCTTTGATTGCCACTTCCAAACCGCCCGAATCTATGCATAATTAACTAATTAACATCAATTAACGCTAAATAAATCAATTCTAATGCATGAGTATAGATTTTTTAATGTTTTTCCCAAAAAGTCAAAAATCAACTCCGGGTCCGCTTGGTCAAAACTCGAAGTTCGAACCAAAACCCGACTACCCATTCACCCACGAACCAAATATGCAATTACTTTTGAAATCCGACCTAAATTTGAGATCCAAATCCCCAAATTTTGAAATTCCTAAATTCTACCCAAGAATACCTAATTTTCCATGGAAACCCTAGATTTTGAGATGAAATAGATTGAAGAAAATGAGTTAGAAATCGTTTACCTATGATTTGGGGAAGAACTCTTCTTTGGAAAATCGCCTATGGGAGCTTAGAGTTTGAAATTTTGGGAAATGAGTTCAAAATCCCATTCAAGTCCCAGATTAACTGCTGCAGATGTCGCATTTGTGACTAGAGCTTCGCATTTGCGAAGTTCGCAAATGCGAGAAAGGCATCACAATTGTGAACCTTCCGCATTTCTGCTGCTATCGCAAATGCGACCTTTTGGTCGCAAATGCGAAGTTCCCCCTGCCCTATTTCCTTCGCAAATGCGAATAAAAGTTCGCAGTTGCGAACATGCCCAGGCCCAGCTTCCTTCGCATTTTCGATGGAAGCCTCGCAATTGCCAAGCCTGTGAAGCTCGCAAATGTGAAGCCTGATCTCGCAATTGCGAGATCAGAGGCCTGCAACTCTGCTGAAGCATACCAGCAAATTCTCTAAGTTCAAAATCACTCCTTAGCCTATCCAAAACTCACCCGAGCCTTCGGGGCTTTAAGCCAAATATGCACACAAGTCTTAAAATATCATACGAACTTGCTCGTGTGATCAAATTGCCAAAATAACATCTTAAACAACGAATTTAGCACCAAAACTCATGAAATTCTCAAGATAGTTCAAAATTTCTATTTTCTCAACCAAGGGTCCGATTTACATCAAATCACTTTCGATTCTCAATAAATTTTACAGATACGACTTAATACCATATCAAACTTGTAGCGGACTCCGAAATCAAAATACAGGCCCGATACCAATGAGATCACATACTATTCCATTTCTAAAAATCCTTATATTTTCCAACAAATAAACTTTTTTCAAAAATTCATTTCTCGGGATAGGATCTCGTAATTTGATTTCGGGCAGACGCCCAGGTCTCATATTTTACGACGGACCCTATGGGACCGTCAAATTACGGGTCCGGGTCCGTTTGCCAAAAATATTAACTGAAACTTTAATCAATTTTAAAGGCAAATTTAAATATTTTTCTTAAATTTCACACAAAGGTTTTCGGAAATGCGCTTGGACTGCGCTCACAAATCGAAGAGAAGAAAAATGAGGTTTTCAAGGCCTCGAAACCCGAATTCGAATTCTAAAACAAGAGATGACCTTTTGGGTCATCACATTTATTGAATCTTATGAGTGACTTATAGCTAGTGTATATAAATTATACTCCCATTGATATCACAATCCACATTCAAGGTTCGGCAGCTAATTGTTAAACTACTCTTCCATTATAAAAAAATATTGTTTAATAATTTTGATAGGAGGTTGTGGAGATCGAAGATTATGATAGAATGTTAGTAGGTAGTAGAGTGTAATTCTCTTTTATACAGGTTGCTTCTGCTACGGTTTTTTACTATCTCGTTGTTGTTGTTGTTGCTTCTTTTCCATGACTATTTCGGTACTATATTTCATTTTTTTTATTGTTGTAATATGCTTGTATGAGTCGAGAGTCTATCGGAAACAACCTCTCTACCTGCACAAGGTAGGAGCAAGGTCTCGTATATATATTCTATCTTCCTTAGATCCCACTTGTGGAAATATACTTAGTATATTGTTGTTGTTATAAATTTAATTATTTCAACACAATATGTCTTAGAAAACAAGAAACAATTTATTACCTCTAGTATAAGGGGTCAATTACTACGGATATATGGTCATTAGTTTAAATTTCTTTGTTGCATCAAAGTTACTAAAGTACTATTTGTTGTAGTAAAAAGTCACCCAACTTCTTAATAGTACAGAAAGTTATCACACTTTTTTTTCAATAGAAAAGTTACTCAACTTTGCCTACCTATTAAGAAGTTACTAGTGGTTGTCTCACCTTTATGTGTGTAACTATAATAACTTTATGTGATATACTTAAGAAAAGTTAAGTAAAATTTTAATACAAAAATAATTTAGTGACTTAAAATAGTTTAATGACGCCGAGGGTCTATTCATGGAAACAATCTCTGTATCCTCATAAGGTAGGGGTAAGGTTACACACTATTCTTCCCCGGACCTCACGGTGTGAGATAATACTGGATATGTTGTTGTATTGACTTTGATAAAATATCATGAATGTTGGGTGACTATTCATGCAATTATGTCCAATTTAAGCTAATATAGATGATTACTTGTTATTGGCTTTTGAATGATTTAATAATGTAAAAATTAATAATGTTTCATAAATCGGTTATTACTGTATGCAAAGAGTAACTTGGAATAAACGAAAAAATCTCGTGAAATTAATAATCGCCATGCAAATATTCATGAATTCAAAGAAAAGTTTGAGGGAAGCTCATGGGCAAATGGCTACAAATTTACTTAATTAAATGATGAAGAGGCTTAGGAAATGAAAGTTGACAAAACTTTATCCCTCTCTTGTCTTTTTCCTGAAATTGTAACGGTAGAAATTTACCCTATTTATATAATGAGATAATTTTCAAAACTGATCTTACCAAATTAATTAAATGGAGAAGACCGTTTAGAAAATGAAAGATGACAAAGCTTTACTCCTCTCTTGTCTCTTCGCAAAAATTGTAACCGTAGAAAGTTGTTATCATTTATATTTGGGTTCCGTCTCTAATTTATATGTTATAATAATATTTAGTATCCATATCGATGACCTATGATCAATCCACCGTCAATTTCTTCCGGGTCTGAGCCTGTCGCATATGGCTTGTCTATTGCGATTTACATCCCTTGTGTGATTTGCAGGCTATTACACAGTGGGAAGTTTATCCAGTGCGCACAAAGTGCTCAACTGAACGATAGAGGCTGTGCCAGAAACTATAGCGGCTGCGAATTTTTCTGGCGCTCCAAAATAATAATAATAATAATAATAATAATAATAATAATAATAATAATAATAATAATAATAATAATAATAATAATATTTAGGTAGTTGCAGTTTTGACTAGTGGTTGCATGCATGCAAGTTTATTACACGTACCATATATGATCAGTTTTTAGAAGCCAAGTTTCCTCTTTGCATGCAACACCAAGCAAGCCATGCATTATATTCCGCGCTCAATTACGCTTTTGTTTATTATAGCTTGTCATTTATTAATCCCTCCTCAATTTATGTAATATTTTGTGGTTCCCGAGAGTTGATTTGATTAATTTTCGAAGTTAAATTGAAGTTTAGATATTCTAAAATTATATACAAAGTATAATAAATTGTGATTCTTTTCATATCAATATAAAAAAAATTATTAAATACTAATTATAATTAATATAATTTGAATCTTAAGAAACAAAATATATCACACGAATAGATTAATATTTATGTCATTGTCAAAAGAGGATGGAAGAAGCTAGGTGCATTAAAACTCGTGTGCCTGATTCTTTAAATGACATCGTTTAAGGGTCAAAGGTACTGACCTCGTCCTTACTCTCAAATATATTTGTTCAAGATTTAAATTATGTAAATTTGACCAATATTTTGAAATGTATTTGTTATTATATAAATATAAGAAGAATTATAACGTATAGTACTTTTCGTATAAATATTTAATATCTAATTCAATTTTTAAAATATTAAATTAAATTAATTCAATTTACCTTTAAAAATTAATCAAATTAACTTTCGAAAAGAAAAACATATAACAACTACTCCCTCCGTTCTAATTTATTGGAACATGTTTGACTGGGTATAGAGTTTAAAAAATAAATAAAGACTTTTTTAATTTGTGGTCCTAAATAAGTTAAAAAGGGGCCAGAATATTTGTATGGTTATAAAAGCTTCTCATTAAGGGCAGAAGTGTAAGTTTATGCTAAATTGTTTCCAAATTTACAAAGGGGTCATTCTTTTTGGAACGAACCAAAAAGAAAATAGGTACACATAAACTGAAACGGAGGGAGTTAAACAAAACGGGAGGAATACCGAATTGTCAAGTCCAAGGTGTAATTAAGACAACCGAGTAAATAAATAGAGCCAAGTTCAGATCATATTGATGTATTAATGCCAAAACAAAAAATAATTCATACTTGTGTACACTCTTTTGTTAGCTACTAGTAGTTAGTTCGCAATGGCGGAGTCAAAATTTTTATTAAGAGGGGTCAAAATATAAAAATTAAACTCACCAAGAAATTAAGGGGTGCCAATACATAGTATATATATATATATATATACATACATATTTTTAAAAATTATCTAACTAGACAGTATAATTTTTCGACTAAGGGGTGTCGATCGGTTGACACTTCTGAGTGCATGTGGCTCCGCCATTGCTAGTTCGTCCTACGAGGAGACAAGTCAAGCATATATTAATAACATGTTTGGCCGTGTTTCTTTTTTGGCAAAGTATTTTTTTCAGAAGTATTTTTTTTCAAAGTTAAGATATTTAGTCAAATAATAATTGCTACTCGAAAGTACTTTTCTAATTGATTAATTATATACTGACTGCTTCTCGTACTTTTAAGTTTAATTTTAGAAGTACGGCCAAACATGCTACTATAAAACCAATTCACTCAATCAGTGTCACAAAGTTTTCCAATTAGTTAACTAAAAAGCTAAAAATGGAGTACTACAATTTAGCTTTCTTCTATACAATTTTGGCAGTAGGGATTCTAACTCTTTATAGTTTACTAAAGAGAGCAAATGGATGGTATTATTCAATAAAATTTAGTTCGAAGAAATATATCATACCTCCAGGTGAAATGGGCTGGCCATTTATTGGAAATACTTTTTTTTTCTTCAGTTTTGCTGGCGATCATGGCTCATTTCTATCCTACTTTTCTACTAGGTAATAATTAAATTTCTCATAGTCATTCTTGTACTTAATTATTCGATATCGAGGGTGTGTCTGGTATGAAGAAATAGCTTTTTTCCAGAATAAATTCGGTCACCATCCAAAACTCTATGATATTTAAAAAATATTTCAAAGGGATTAATGGAGAAAACAATAAGCGAAAAAGTCGTTTTTTCCTCTTTTAGTTGAAAATATTTTTCAAGAAAAATTGCATTTTGATGTTTGGTTACTTGAAAATATCTTAAACCGAGGGATCTATCGGAAACAACCTCTCTACCTTTTCAAGTAGGGGTAAGGTCTATGACGACTCTACGTACACACTACCCTCCCCACATCTCATTTGTGAAATTTTACTGGATTATTTTTTGTTGGTTACCAGAAAATGACTTATTTTTCAAAAAAAAAAAATTCCAGAAAATGTTAACTTGTACCTAACACACTCTGATCAATTCATGATGTTTTGTTTTTCTGTTGTTTTAAATTTGGTTGTTAAATTGCCTTAATTTTTAATCTATTTTTGAAAAAAGAATAGGTTTGGGCCAGGAGGGATGTACAAGGCACACATATTTGGAAAGCCAAGCATTATCATTACAAAGCCAGAAACAATTAGGAAAATCCTGATGGATGAAGAAAATATTGACAGAGGTATGCCTGAATATATATCAAAGCTAGCTGGAATAACAAATTCAATCGAAGAAGACAAGCGAATTCGTCGATCAATAGCTCCGATAAAGAGTCACGGATTATTATCCGACTATTTTGATTGTATAAACGATGTTGTGAGAACTACATTCGACAAATACGCTGCTACGGAGGAATCTTTTGAGTTCCTCACTGAGATGAGAAAACCTACATTTGAGGTTTTTATGAGAATTCTTATAGGTGGTGAGGTTGCTAAAGAATTGTTTGATGCTGTGTTCAAGGAGAATAATTTGCTAATGAGTGGTGCTCACAGCTTGCCCATTAATATCCCTGGATTTGCTTACAATAAGGCAATCAAGGTAAGATATGTTGAATTCTGCCATTTTTCGGGTTTTTTCGGGTCTTTGTCGGATTTTTCGGGGTTTTTTCGGACAATTTTTGTTACATTAATATTATTTCGATCTTACTTTGTTAAATTTTTAATATGTAAATATATGTTTAATAAAAATTTAAAAAAAATTAATAAACATATGATTTATAACATATTCTTATGGGAGAATTTTCATAGTAACATATGATAGTTATTTTTTTAGTCGTGCTGACAATAATTTTCCGTTGATGTATACTTTCAAAGTTAATGAATTTAATAATTAAAGATAAAAATTAATATGATACCTATATAATGATATGTTCTATTTAATTTTAAATTATCGAAATATTACTTCAAATTCGTAAAAAGATATACGAATTTAATAGATATTGACTTATGAATATGGAAGAACAAAGAGATTTACGTATTTCACTAACACTTGATAAGAAAGTGATCATACAACCCATTTAAAGTTAATACAAATAGAGCACTTTATATTTAACTAGATATTACATCCCATAAGAGAATCACAAATATTTTTAGACATTTCTTAAAGAAAATTCTATGAAAAGTCTTAAAAGTATATATAAAAATTATATAAATATATATCAGTTTGGTTCGGGTTGTTTTACTCAATACAAAATCAAATCAAACCAAATCTAATCAGATTTTTTTATAGGTTTGGTTTGACTTTTTAGTTTGGTGTGATTTTCTGATTCGGTTTATACATCCCTATATTTCATGTAAAATTGTGTGACTATCTCGTCTTAGGATCAAATGATTCCATGGCCCATTAAAAATTTTCTTTTAGTTTTACGTCAAATTTCTCAAAAGATCTTTATTTTTACACATAAAAAATCTAGAAGTAAAATTTTAGATTTCAATCCTCTGCTAATCCTAATTTTATCATTTCAGGCTCGAAGAGAACTAGTTAAGATATTTCAACAAATATTAGAAGAAAGAAAAGCCATGATTGCAAAGGATAAAGCAATGCTAAAGTCCAACATAATTGATATGATGTTAGACACTCAAGATGACGATGATAATGAAGGAAAAGGATTAAGCGATGAGAAGATCATTAACATGCTAATTTTTGCTTCATTTGGTGGTTATGAACCTGTTGCTCTAATGGCAACAAAGGCAATTATGCATTTGGAAAAACATCCTGACTTCTTACATAAAGCAAAAGTAAGTATGATCATAACTTTTATTAGACGGTGTTTGATTGAGTACGAAGTTTAAATTTTTGTATTTATTTATAGGAGGAACAAGAGGATATAATCCAGAGAAGACCGTCTTCAAATGCTGGCCTTAATTTTGACGAGATTAGACAAATGAAGTATCTTAGTAAGGTAAGATATTAGTCTTCTTTACTAGGATTGGAGCACACAATTCACTATGTAAAATAATTACTCCCTCTGTTTGAAGGAGAATCTTGACGTAACTGGTAGAGTTGCTACTATGTGACCAAGAGGTAACGGGTTTGAGTTATGGAAACAACCTCTTACAGAAATGCAAGGTAAGACTGCGCACAATAGACCATTGTGGTCCGGCTTTTTCCTGGACCCGCGCATAACGAGAGCTTAGTGCCCGGGCTTCCTTTAGTGTGATATGATACATAATTTGAGAAAGAAAAAAAAGACTTTTGAAACTTGTTGTCGTCTTAAATATGTCATAACATTTGTAATAATGATAATAACAACAAACCTAATAAAAATCGCACAAGTGAGGTTTGGAAAGAATATAGTGTACGCAGACCTTACTTTACCTTTGTGGAGGTAGAGTGGTTGTTTTTGATAGACCCTACGTCATAATATTTATATTGCTATAAAATCTTGTCACTAGAGATAAATTGGAAAGTTTAACAAAATGGTTTCTAAATTTAGAAAAAGATGCCAAAGTACTATTTTGTTTTCAAGCTCACTATTTCATTTGGACTAACATGCATTCTATTTTGTGCTTTATCTTTTTCAATTATGGAAAGGTAATTAATGAAACACTCCGTATTGCTAGCAGCAAGACAATATTCCTTAAAGACACAAATACTCCTTATAACATAAATGGTTAGTGTTCAGCCTTGACTTCTTCTAAATATTTATCCTTTTTATATAATTTCATACTTAAATCCAATGAATCATTTCTTTATCTACTGTATTTGCAGGGTACACTATACCTAAGGGGTGGAAATTTTTTGCATTGTTATGGAGTATTCGTATGGATCCTGATATTTATGCCAAACCTGAGGAATTTAATCCTTCAAGATGGGATGCAAGTGACATGCCCTTGTGTATTCATGAAATTTCTTTCACTTTTTTTTAATAACCGAGAAATTCTCGAGGGGCTAGTAGTGCACGGTTCGAAACTCGGTAGATAATGGGTGTATCCTCGGTAGCTCTACTCTTCTCCACTTAAATACTAGATTTTTGTTTCCAGCAGAGTTTGAATCAATGACGTATACCTAACTCGCACATCACAACTCACAAGTTGCGGTCTTACCACTAGACCAAAGCTTTGAATCCATGACGTGTACTTAACTCGCATATCACAAGCTGCGGTCTTACCATTAGACCAAAGCTTGAAATCCATGACGTGCACCTAACTAGCACATCACAAGCGGTTTTCACTGAGCGAATATCCATGTAACTATTGCACATTAATTAGTGATTAAAAAAAATTAATTTGCAGGATCTTGAAACCAAGCCAGGCTGCTTTCTTCCTTTTTCAATAGGCCCTAGAATGTGCCCAGGATCCAATTTGGCCAGGCTTCAGATTTCAGTAATTCTTCATTATTTTCTTCTTTACTACAGGTATTAGTAACTCTTTACTAATCATCTGAAATTCACTAATTATTATATGAAACAAAAAGAAAATATCAATTACTGATTAGATCATATTTCAATTTAATTGTTATGATGCAGGCTTGAGCAGCTTAATCCAGATATCAAAACTGATCCTCCTGAAAATTGCCTTGTGAGATTCAAGAAGATCTCAGCCTAGTGAAATAGTTGCATTAGTTTTTCATATTGTAATTATCTCGAAAACAATAAGTTTATCAGAAAATAATTTTATCGATATATTAAAGTCGCAGCCTAGTGATATTCCAATTTCAATCTATAACTCAAGTGGTGCATGATTTAAATTTCATGAGTATGTCTTAAAATGCTTGAAATTTTGAAGAAAGTAGAGAGCAACTTGAAAATATGAACCTTTTGACTTAAATACAGAGATAAAGAATAGTAGTTTATATAGATTGACAACTAGAGAAACTAATCTAAATAAGCACAGAGGATTCATATAGCAGATCCCAACTAGTATTGAGATAATAATAACATATCCAATATATTCCCACAGGCAGGGGCGTACGCAGGAATTTTTGTAAGCGGTGTCAAAATTTATAAAAAAAAACTGAAATATAACTTTGATTGTCATATTTTTAGACAAGAAATAGTCTTAATCTATTGATTTTATTGAGTCTTAAGCAAATATTTACAAAATAAAAATGTCTTAGTTGAGGTTTGAACCTTTAACCTCTTATAGAAAAATCAAACACATTACCAACACACCAACATACAATTTATGTCAAGTGGTGTCATTTTTTTCTGTTTAATAGTTTTCGTACAATATTAATACATATATTTAATAAACATTTTCGACGAAGCGGTGTCGCGTGACACCGCTTCGATAAGCATAAATCCGCCCCTGCCCATAGGTGGGCAAATAGACAGGCTGTTTCCAAAAGACCCTCGGCTCAGTTAAGCCTAGCTAGTCTTGGGATACATTTATTAATTCAGAATCTACACATAGCAATATCTAACAGAGTTTGATTAATTGGACTTGAAATTTATTCCTCTGTTATTTTTATTTTTTGTCTTCAAGCATTTGCCATCAGCTTTTCCTTCCTTTGGGCCTTGAGTTCTTCCACTCTTTTCAGTTTCCTTCGGTGCTTTCCCATATACGCTTATCAACTGCAAAAACGAGAACGGTTTTAATCTTTTTTCAGTTTTGCACGAAACAGTTCATAATCTGAGAGAAATAACAAGGCAGTTAACGTAGGGTTAGGAGAAGGGTTGCTGTAGGTAGCCTACCCCGATACAAGCTTCAATAGTTGAATAATCAAAATCAAGAATCTCCAGCAATAGCAACTTAAAGTCTAAGGAAAGCAACACTCAATACACTACAACAAATGAGACCTTTAGTAGCAATTAATTAAAATTCGCGCATAATTTGAAAAAGAAGACTGTTGAGAGTATTCCAATTGATAAAACTTATTCATGGCAACTCCTATTATTCGCCACCAAAATCCTTACTTTTGTGACGATTAAAGGAGTCTCCATGAAGAATCACCATGAAAAACCTTATTGATTTATAATGCATATAAATGTGATAAAAAAGGGCAATCCGGTGCACAAAGCATCTTACATTCACGCAGGGTCCAGGGAAGGGCCCCACCCCAAGAGGGTATGATGTAGGTAGCCTGCCCTGATGCAAACATCAACAACTATTTCACGGCTCGAAACCGTAACCTATAGGTCACACGGAGACAACTTAACCATTGCTCCAAGGCTCTCATTCCTTACGACTGATATGCATCATAACAAAATACAGAATGGGATATAGTACAATGTGACCTTGAACATTTAGTCTAGATGTAATCTAGTACGATATGTAGTTGTTCTTACAAAAGTTCCTAATTTGTCTGTCAAAAAAACATCTTTAAATAACTCTAACAAATGTAAAGTGATAGTGCCAAACATTTCTCAGGAACATACCTCATCAAGTTCTTCAAGAGTCAGAGTAAATGGAGGAGCCATATTTATGTAATTGCCAATATAACTTACCAACACCCCGAACTTCTGACATTGTGCTCCAAAATATGTACCAACACCTGAGCAAATAATGAACAATTTGTCAAATTGATCTTAGAATTTAACTTAACCTCAGATAAGATAAAGATTAAAAAACATACCCCATTCAGGAGGAAAGGGATCATCAGGAGATTTGTTATCTACAAACTCTGTAGAAAGAACCAAACCAGTTCCCCTTGTCTGAAAAAAATATATATTTGAATAAAATAAACAATTAATAGGTAATTAAGACGTTTTAATTAGCTACTTCTACCATGATAATTACTATTACCTCCCCAATTATGGGACTGTCAGAAAATGCTTTCAAACCTTCTTGGAACTTTGGTGATATTTTGTTCACTAGCTCAACAATATTTCTTTCCCTGAAAAATAATTTTGAATTTATACAGTGTTTTAGCAACAAGTACAACAATAACATACCCAGTATATTCTCACATGTGGGGTATGAGGAGGATAATGTGTACGCAGATCTTACCCCTACCCAGTGAAGGTAGAGAGAATGTAAGAAGAAGAAGAAGAAGAAAGAAAGACAGGCATAAAAAAATGTACAAATTCAGATCATTTATAAAGTAATTATAGGTAAATATCTTGATAAGCTATGATTGGTAATATAGTAAAAACGGTAGCTAACTTGCTATCACATGCTAAAATTTACCTAAATAAATCTTTACACTGATAGTGCATACTTAACTTAATTGTTGATTATCGAGCCAAATGCCCATTTATTTTAGTGCATAAGGGCCACTCAGTCATATCACCAACAACAATCAGTAATTACTAAATTAGATGGAGAAATTTTATTTTCGAACAAAAAAAAACATATTTTCTGTCAGAAAAAAGGTTGCATACTTGTAAATCTTCAGTGCTTCCAAGGCAACCGCACAGGCGAGAGGGTGGCCTGAATAAGTAAATCCATGGATAAAAGCACCTAATTTGCAAAAGGAAAAAAAAAAAGGTTATGAACAATTTGGTAACAAAAGGTAGAGGATTTTATATCTTATCAAACTGATATTATCTATGCTCACCAATTTTATTGCTTTGAGAATATATGACATCAGAAATTTCAGGGCTTATAAGGACAGCACCAATTGGCACATATCCAGAAGAAAGTGCCTGAAAGAGCATTTAAACAGAGACATATTCAGTTTAACTGTAAAAGATTATCAGTGGCGGAGTCAGAAATTTATACGCGATTCAAAAGTAGCAATTATTTAACCCTCTTTTCATTTCACTAGAATTTTCTCTTATGTCGAGGGGATTCAACAGCTTATATATAACCAAAAGACTTTAATTCTATCCTATTTGTACAGTATAATATTTCAACAACAACAAATAAGTGAAAGGACAATAACACAAAACTATGCAAAACAACAATGTGAGCACAACATAGATCGCTAACAAACCTAAACAAAACTCTATCAGACTACCCGGTACAAAGAGGGAGAAACTCTCGACTACCCCTTAGCCTACCACCCTAATGCTCGACCTCCACATGTTCCTATCAAGAGCCATGTCCTCGAAAATCTGAAGCCGCACCATGTCCTGCCTGATCAACTCGCCCCAATGCTTCTTAGGCCGCCCTCTACCTCTTCTCGTACCTGCCAAAGTCAACCGTTCACACCTCTTAACCGGTGCATCTAGGCTTCTCCTCCGCACGTGTCCGAACCATCTAAGCCGCGCTTTCCGTATCTTGTCATCCACGGGAGTCACGCCCACCCTCTCCCGAATATCTTCATTCCGAATCTTATCCAGCCTAGTGTGCCCACACATCCATTTCAACATCCTCATTTCTGTTACTTTCATCTTCTGGATATGTGAATTCTTGACTGGCCAACACTCAGCTCTATACAACATGACCGGTCTAACCACCGCTCTATAGAACTTACTTTTGAGTTTCGGTGACACCTTCTTGTCACACAGGACTCCACACGCTAACCTCCATTTCATCCACCCTACTCCAATACGGTGCGTAACATCCCCGTCGATCTCCCCATCTCCCTGGATAATTGACCCTAAGTACTTAAAACTTTCTCTCTTGAGGATGACCTATGAGTCAAGCCTGACTTCCACATCCGCTTCTCCCGTCATGTTGCTGAACTTACATTCCACATATTCTGTCTTAGTCTTACTCAACTTGAAACCTTTAGACTCCAGGGCCTGCCTCCATATCTCCAGTCTCCCATTAACGGCACCTCGTATCTCATCAATCAGAACTATATCATCAGCGAACAACATACACCATGGCACCTCTCCTTGGATATGGTGTGTTAGTGTGTCCATCGCCAAGAGAAAATAAGAACGGGCTGAGGGCAGATCCTTGGTGTAACCCCATAACCACCGGAAAGGCTCTAAGTCACCTCCCACAGTCCTAACCCGAATCATAGCTCTCGCTCTAATGTAAGCCACCGACACACATTTCACCTCCAAAGAACGTCCCTAGGGACCTTGTCATATACCTTCTCTAAGATTTAAAATACAAGGAAGAACAACGGAAATAGAATACAGAAGAAAATAGGGGGGTATTCTTTTGAGAAGGATATTTTCACAAATTACAAAAGATATTTAGAGACAAAATAGTGAAGTGCTTATGAGCTGACCAATTTAGCTGCTTTTGACTTATAAGCACTTAATTTATAAGCACTTTTGATCTTTATCACACACGTATATAAACAAAAAATGCTCATTTGCTTGTCAATAAGCTCAGAAAAACACTCTCTTAAGGATCAAGTAAGAGAACGCAATTCGTGTTCCTTTATTGGGCACTGTATTCAGATATCTCGTAAATACAAATGACTCAAAAAAACTAGAAATTCATAGTAGTATTTACCCCCCTCTTTAAAATGAAAGGAGCAGACATAAGAGTACTGGAAGGAATAAAACTGACCTTATCAAAATAGGTTGCTGGAGGAGGAATGACACCTCCTGCCCCCATGACGGTTCGGCAATGAAAGCAGCTACCTAGGTGAAACAAGTAAATTAATCATCATAAGTTCACCATTTTGGCATTTATATAGTATATTTTTCGGGTGCAAAAGATAATAAGTAGTATATAATATTAATTAATATGCATCATAGCCTGTCTAGCCTAGTAATATCGGGCGTTTTTCTGGCAAAAGTAATTTCTAACTTGTC